TTATTATTGGAAAATGAACATAAATATCTCTCCGTATAAGTACATTACTTCAAAGAGATGAAAGTGAGAACTGAAGTTGACATTATTTATTATTGGAAAATGAACATAAATATCTCTCCGTATAAGTACATTACTTCAAAGAGATGAAAGTGAGAACTGAAGTTGACATTATTTATTATTGGAAAATGAACATAAATATCTCTCCGTATAAGTACATTACTTCAAAGAGATGAAAGTGAGAACTGAAGTTGACATTATTTATTATTGGAAAATGAACATAAATATCTCTCCGTATAAGTACATTACTTCAAAGAGATGAAAGTGAGAACTGAAGTTGACATTATTTATTATTGGAAAATGAACATAAATATCTCTCCGTATAAGTACATTACTTCAAAGAGATGAAAGTGAGAACTGAAGTTGACATTATTTATTATTGGAAAATGAACATAAATATCTCTCCGTATAAGTACATTACTTCAAAGAGATGAAAGTGAGAACTGAAGTTGACATTATTTATTATTGGAAAATGAACATAAATATCTCTCCGTATAAGTACATTACTTCAAAGAGATGAAAGTGAGAACTGAAGTTGACATTATTTATTATTGGAAAATGAACATAAATATCTCTCCGTATAAGTACATTACTTCAAAGAGATGAAAGTGAGAACTGAAGTTGACATTATTTATTATTGGAAAATGAACATAAATATCTCTCCGTATAAGTACATTACTTCAAAGAGATGAAAGTGAGAACTGAAGTTGACATTATTTATTATTGGAAAATGAACATAAATATCTCTCCGTATAAGTACATTACTTCAAAGAGATGAAAGTGAGAACTGAAGTTGACATTATTTATTATTGGAAAATGAACATAAATATCTCTCCGTATAAGTACATTACTTCAAAGAGATGAAAGTGAGAACTGAAGTTGACATTATTTATTATTGGAAAATGAACATAAATATCTCTCCGTATAAGTACATTACTTCAAAGAGATGAAAGTGAGAACTGAAGTTGACATTATTTATTATTGGAAAATGAACATAAATATCTCTCCGTATAAGTACATTACTTCAAAGAGATGAAAGTGAGAACTGAAGTTGACATTATTTATTATTGGAAAATGAACATAAATATCTCTCCGTATAAGTACATTACTTCAAAGAGATGAAAGTGAGAACTGAAGTTGACATTATTTATTATTGGAAAATGAACATAAATATCTCTCCGTATAAGTACATTACTTCAAAGAGATGAAAGTGAGAACTGAAGTTGACATTATTTATTATTGGAAAATGAACATAAATATCTCTCCGTATAAGTACATTACTTCAAAGAGATGAAAGTGAGAACTGAAGTTGACATTATTTATTATTGGAAAATGAACATAAATATCTCTCCGTATAAGTACATTACTTCAAAGAGATGAAAGTGAGAACTGAAGTTGACATTATTTATTATTGGAAAATGAACATAAATATCTCTCCGTATAAGTACATTACTTCAAAGAGATGAAAGTGAGAACTGAAGTTGACATTATTTATTATTGGAAAATGAACATAAATATCTCTCCGTATAAGTACATTACTTCAAAGAGATGAAAGTGAGAACTGAAGTTGACATTATTTATTATTGGAAAATGAACATAAATATCTCTCCGTATAAGTACATTACTTCAAAGAGATGAAAGTGAGAACTGAAGTTGACATTATTTATTATTGGAAAATGAACATAAATATCTCTCCGTATAAGTACATTACTTCAAAGAGATGAAAGTGAGAACTGAAGTTGACATTATTTATTATTGGAAAATGAACATAAATATCTCTCCGTATAAGTACATTACTTCAAAGAGATGAAAGTGAGAACTGAAGTTGACATTATTTATTATTGGAAAATGAACATAAATATCTCTCCGTATAAGTACATTACTTCAAAGAGATGAAAGTGAGAACTGAAGTTGACATTATTTATTATTGGAAAATGAACATAAATATCTCTCCGTATAAGTACATTACTTCAAAGAGATGAAAGTGAGAACTGAAGTTGACATTATTTATTATTGGAAAATGAACATAAATATCTCTCCGTATAAGTACATTACTTCAAAGAGATGAAAGTGAGAACTGAAGTTGACATTATTTATTATTGGAAAATGAACATAAATATCTCTCCGTATAAGTACATTACTTCAAAGAGATGAAAGTGAGAACTGAAGTTGACATTATTTATTATTGGAAAATGAACATAAATATCTCTCCGTATAAGTACATTACTTCAAAGAGATGAAAGTGAGAACTGAAGTTGACATTATTTATTATTGGAAAATGAACATAAATATCTCTCCGTATAAGTACATTACTTCAAAGAGATGAAAGTGAGAACTGAAGTTGACATTATTTATTATTGGAAAATGAACATAAATATCTCTCCGTATAAGTACATTACTTCAAAGAGATGAAAGTGAGAACTGAAGTTGACATTATTTATTATTGGAAAATGAACATAAATATCTCTCCGTATAAGTACATTACTTCAAAGAGATGAAAGTGAGAACTGAAGTTGACATTATTTATTATTGGAAAATGAACATAAATATCTCTCCGTATAAGTACATTACTTCAAAGAGATGAAAGTGAGAACTGAAGTTGACATTATTTATTATTGGAAAATGAACATAAATATCTCTCCGTATAAGTACATTACTTCAAAGAGATGAAAGTGAGAACTGAAGTTGACATTATTTATTATTGGAAAATGAACATAAATATCTCTCCGTATAAGTACATTACTTCAAAGAGATGAAAGTGAGAACTGAAGTTGACATTATTTATTATTGGAAAATGAACATAAATATCTCTCCGTATAAGTACATTACTTCAAAGAGATGAAAGTGAGAACTGAAGTTGACATTATTTATTATTGGAAAATGAACATAAATATCTCTCCGTATAAGTACATTACTTCAAAGAGATGAAAGTGAGAACTGAAGTTGACATTATTTATTATTGGAAAATGAACATAAATATCTCTCCGTATAAGTACATTACTTCAAAGAGATGAAAGTGAGAACTGAAGTTGACATTATTTATTATTGGAAAATGAACATAAATATCTCTCCGTATAAGTACATTACTTCAAAGAGATGAAAGTGAGAACTGAAGTTGACATTATTTATTATTGGAAAATGAACATAAATATCTCTCCGTATAAGTACATTACTTCAAAGAGATGAAAGTGAGAACTGAAGTTGACATTATTTATTATTGGAAAATGAACATAAATATCTCTCCGTATAAGTACATTACTTCAAAGAGATGAAAGTGAGAACTGAAGTTGACATTATTTATTATTGGAAAATGAACATAAATATCTCTCCGTATAAGTACATTACTTCAAAGAGATGAAAGTGAGAACTGAAGTTGACATTATTTATTATTGGAAAATGAACATAAATATCTCTCCGTATAAGTACATTACTTCAAAGAGATGAAAGTGAGAACTGAAGTTGACATTATTTATTATTGGAAAATGAACATAAATATCTCTCCGTATAAGTACATTACTTCAAAGAGATGAAAGTGAGAACTGAAGTTGACATTATTTATTATTGGAAAATGAACATAAATATCTCTCCGTATAAGTACATTACTTCAAAGAGATGAAAGTGAGAACTGAAGTTGACATTATTTATTATTGGAAAATGAACATAAATATCTCTCCGTATAAGTACATTACTTCAAAGAGATGAAAGTGAGAACTGAAGTTGACATTATTTATTATTGGAAAATGAACATAAATATCTCTCCGTATAAGTACATTACTTCAAAGAGATGAAAGTGAGAACTGAAGTTGACATTATTTATTATTGGAAAATGAACATAAATATCTCTCCGTATAAGTACATTACTTCAAAGAGATGAAAGTGAGAACTGAAGTTGACATTATTTATTATTGGAAAATGAACATAAATATCTCTCCGTATAAGTACATTACTTCAAAGAGATGAAAGTGAGAACTGAAGTTGACATTATTTATTATTGGAAAATGAACATAAATATCTCTCCGTATAAGTACATTACTTCAAAGAGATGAAAGTGAGAACTGAAGTTGACATTATTTATTATTGGAAAATGAACATAAATATCTCTCCGTATAAGTACATTACTTCAAAGAGATGAAAGTGAGAACTGAAGTTGACATTATTTATTATTGGAAAATGAACATAAATATCTCTCCGTATAAGTACATTACTTCAAAGAGATGAAAGTGAGAACTGAAGTTGACATTATTTATTATTGGAAAATGAACATAAATATCTCTCCGTATAAGTACATTACTTCAAAGAGATGAAAGTGAGAACTGAAGTTGACATTATTTATTATTGGAAAATGAACATAAATATCTCTCCGTATATATACATTAGTTCAAACAGATAAAAGTGAGAAAATTCGTATGAAAATGTGATTTCATTACATATGTCTTGATTTCTATTGTAATTTAACATCATGCTAGAAAATATATAGATTAAGATAGTTTTTAATTATCAAAATATTATATTATATATTTTTTTTAAAATTGACTGGTTAATGTGTAGAAGTTCAAAAGAATCGCTAAAACCAGGCATCTCATAGTTTTAAGATTAATTGCAGGTTACTCTTTTTTTCTTCTATTCTCTCTCTCTCTCTCTCTCTCTCTCTCTCTCTCTCTCTCTCATATTTTCCTCTATTAAGATGTTTTTGGTTTCTCTTTTAAAAAATATGCATTCAATACAAAAAAAATTGAAATGAGGATGAAACGTCCCATATTGTATGTGTATATTTATTGACATTGATTGCTATAGTCATGCAAGGTTTTTAAGCTGTCATTTGATTCCTCTACCATTGCTTAATTTGAGGGGAATTCCCATATATCTCTATATAATACAGATTCATTCCTCTGATGAATATATTGTACTATTTGGATCTGGTTTGCTCACATCTTAATTTAGAAATGAAGGTTTTCATTCATTTAATTATTTCTATAACAATTTCTTACACGATCTGCGTTTGTGACTATAACTCCACGATTTGGATCAAAAAGAGACATACCAAGGAAATCGATGTACTCCGACAGATCATCAACCAGGAAACTCTCATCCGTTTAGCCGTGGTCAAGAATGTTAAGGTAGTAGTGGACGACGTTAGCTCTGTGAAGCTAAGGATGGCGTCTACAGAAAAGATAGTGTCCACGCTGCAGCAGACGGTAGAATCATTGAAACGTCAGGTCGCTACCCTAAGTCAAGACGACTCTTTAGCGCATAAGATGGACACATTGAAAAAACAGATCGAAAGTTTAAGTCAAAACAACACTTTACAGCAAACGGTAGAAACATTGAAAAAACAGGTTGCTATCCTAAGTGAAAACGACACTATAGCGCAGAAGATGGAAACATTGAAAAGACGGATCGATACTTTAAGTCAGAACAACACTTTACATCAGACGGTAGAAACATTGAAAAAAGAGATTGATTTTCTTAGACGCGACAAAACTTTACAGAATACGGTAGAATCATTAAAAAGAGAGGTTAAAACTCAAAGACAGGAGGGCAGGAAAATTTCAGAAAACTGTCAGAATAGGTTTCAGGAATTTGATCAAAAGTTTAAAATTCTAAAGGAAAATATGACCGATCTCTACCAGTATCTTAATAGGACGGAAGTGAAAACATTGGAAGAAGGTAATGTGATCTCTCTCTCTCTCTCTCTCTCTCTCTCTGTGTGTGTGTGTGTGTGTGTGTGTGTGTGTGTATATATATTATAATGATTATCCAGATTTTTATGTTTATATTCTTATTCAGGTTTAAAACTTAAAAGGGATTGTAAAGAACACTATCTACTTGGACACAGACAGTCTGGTGTATATACGATAAATCCGTTTGGAAACGAGACCAGGGTCAGAGTGTACTGTGATATGGCAACTAAAGGAGGAGGGTGGACGGTAAGAAATATCTCTCTTCTCCCTCTCTGTCTCTCTCTCTTCCAGAGCTTGTGGAACTACAAGTAGAGTTTCTATCTGACACAAAATGAAAAGAAGGAGAGAACTAGAGAAAATATGTATATTGTTTAATTTTGTATTTGCATTATCCAACGAGTAGGAATTGTGTATATTCAAGAGCCTTGCTGTGCAAATATACACTATTCAAATTAACGAGTTCAATACAGCAAATTTTAAATCATACAATTATAGTTGTATTGTTTATCTCATACGATTTTAGTTTTTTAGCGCATCTTTGAGATAATCTATGTAAAATTATTTTGATTGGTTTCTGCCAAAGTCAGCTACGCGTAAATTAATGGCGTCGCCATGTTAACGCTGACATGCCGAAAGAAAGTTATTTGTAGATACAAAAATGAAATCTTGGAGTAATATTTCTTTCCTCTTTTAAAACATGTTTTTTCAGTCTGTTGGAGGTTTATTTCATTCAAACTTTTAAATGAAAGTTGGTTGTAATACTACAAGCTAGAATAAGGACTAGGAAATCTTGATTAATACTCCGATTCTGTGAAGGACGATACCTTTTCTTGTAGATCTAGGATAATTTATATGCTAGAATTTTTCTTCCTGTCAGTTGTCTCTATATAATCAATTTCCAACCATTTTCGCATAATGTTTTTAGGATTTATATACTACCATTTAAGGATACTATGCCGAAATAGTGCACGGCTGTGTTTTCTAGATAAAATGTGTTAGCACTCGTGGTGGGGATCAAACTCACGATCCTCAGAACGTCAGTCCAACGATTTACCGATTATGTCAAAAACACCGATGCATTGCGAAACGTACTTTTAAGTACGGAATTAACAGTATTTTTGTGTTATTGTTTGGATGTACTATGCCTAATAGCAGTCAGGGTTTGACATTTTATTACTCTACAATGAATTTTTACTTGTTTTTACGAAAGATTCTGCTTACTATTATTTATTTTATAACGCAATAATTTTAACAAATACAAGTGACAATAAATCTACACCTTCAAGGGAAAGATTACATCAAAACTGGAAGTGATACTGATAAAGCATTCTGGAGATAAACCATAGGCTTATTTTATGAGTAGTATCCACCACACTTACGAGATAAATACATCTATCAGACTTCAATACAATCTTATATTTTTGTTGATAACCCTTAGGCAATCCAGAGAAGACAGAGCGGATCAATAAGCTTTAACAAAAATTGGGCGGAGTACAAAAAGGGTTTTGGAAACCCTAATGGCACTTACTGGATCGGTAAAGACTTGTATATTTTTTTTTATTTGAAAGAATGATAATTGGTTTCATAATTACACTGTTTTAAAAGGAAATATTTTCTGTTATTTAAGTATGAATTCCCATTATCACAAATCATCACATATATTAACTGCTTTCTGTTTTAAAAATTAATATGTTGTTTTTTGCATAAAAATTTACATAATCATAAATCATAATATATATTATCGTATCGATCCATTAAAATTCACTTAACTAAGGTATATTACTCACTCTATATATATATATATATATATATATATATCTATATCTATATCTATATCTATATATATATATATATATTAATGTTTAGTTCTTTTTGGTTACTTTCTTCTACAACGATTCTTATTAAACATTAACTTACTTTACACTTAATACTCTTACAATAACGTATTGAAGGAAATGACGTGATCCATCAGCTTACCAAGGGAAATAAATCATCCCTCTACGTCTCTATTACATTAAAAAATGGCAAAACTTTGTATGAACAATATCAACAGTTTTCGATTTCTGATGAGAAAAACAATTACAAACTCTTCCTTGGAGGGCCAGCTTCCGGATCATTGGGTAAGTAATAGGTAAAATATGTGATCTGTGACTATCGTAGCAGAGAGAGAGAGAGAGAGAGAGAGAGAGAGAGAGGAGAAAAGAGAGATAATGAGAGAGAGGGGGAGAGGGATTAAAATTGAGACATGATGTTTGATAATTACAGCTTTAATACTTTGAACCTTATGTCAAGTCTTCCAACAGTAAAGTATAGTAGTTTCCCTGTCTCATTCTTGAAATGACAGAATTATTAACTGAAAGCAATTATTTTGAATAGGTTTTCTTGTGTTCCCCTCTGTTTAAACAATATACAACATTTCTGTCAATGTATTTTTACGAGTTGAAGGAACATCAACTCAATTATACTCTTATTCAGGTTTTCCTGCATTTGATCCAAATAACCTCAAATTAAATTAAAGAAGGAAATAGTAAATGCGATCTTAGTACATTCTTAAAACGTGTTATTTTTAAAAATCTTTGTAACAAAGTAACTGTAAACATGTAGGAAAGGTAATATAGATATCCATGATGGATAGGTATGTTGCTTACTCAGAACCAGTTACGTCGCATGCATCAGCTGTGTGTCACGTGACTGGTATAAAAATAGAATTGATCATCTGAATGTAGGAAATGAAGCAAGTGCAAGGGCATACGCATGTTTTTGGAGAAAAAATTGATACATATTAAAAAGATTTACAGCGGCTTCCCGAAAAGTGCTGGGAGCTAAATTGAGCTGATTCGGAAATACTAATTTTGCCGAAAATGCGTATAATTGCTCAAAATTTCCATTCCGCTTATATTCTGTCATGAATAAAAATAATATTATGCCGACCAGAATCAGCTCCCAGCACTTTTCAAAATATACATGATATAAGCAATTGATATTCCATATCTCAACTCAAACAGTCTAGTCTATGTCCTTGCACTTTTGAGGTTAATCAGGTATATACTTATCGTGGAAGCGATATTCTTTACATTCTCTGTGTTTGTGCAGCTCCATTGCACCTAGATAAATCAATATTCTACATTATTGTTTTAAATAAATTATTTCCTTTTAATTTTATTGATTTGATTTGAACATTGGCAATGGTTTTATATTTTTTTATTATAATAAGCATTTTTTAAATATTAAACCAAGGGATGCACTCCTCCAGGATCTCTCGTCCTGCGTCAAGTCAAGACTAGTGACGTCATTTATGACACAAGATTTGCTTCTTATAACCTGGCAGTAATGTCATCAAATTTTGTGATTTTACGTGCTTTTATAAATAATTGATAAAATAAATGAATGCAAGTTGTAATTTACGCATCATCATGTGGTTAAGATAGATTTTGTCGTTTGTTAATATTTTAATGACATCACAATGAAACTTCCCATACGGTGCATCACAGGTGTGAACTCAGGCCTTCCTTTACGTAGCTGAGACCTCATTAATTCCGTGCCTTCTTCTATAATTTTTCTTGCAGGTTGAAAAATTCTCCATAAATGAAAGCGGGCATATTTTTTTCAACACCTTATACCGTTTCTTTTAAAAAAAACAAATTCATAATAGATATACTCAATATCATTTTTTTGAAATCCTTTATTGTGTCGGTCCTACAAAAAAATAAAGTGCCATTACCCTAGTAATTCTCGCCTCGGAGCAATATTTGTAGTGAACCGCTATCCATGGATGGGCACAGGTAAAATAGTACCGTATTACTTAACATATTTTGTTAAGTGAAAAATGTTATTTTTTAAACTATATTCACATAAATGAATTATGAAAAGAATCAACTGAGAGAAATGCGAAGAAAAATGTTTGAGATTGAAATCTGGAAATAGATTGAACTACTTTTCATCTTCATTTGCACCATTCTGTTTTGTTTGTTAACAACAACGAATGAATATCGGCAAGAAAAATCTACAAGGGGACTTCAAAAGAAAAAGACTAGAAGCGAACTTGCGTAGAGATATAAAAGAGACACGACAAGGTAATTACATTCATGCATTGTTATGCAAATGTTATTCTGATAGATAAGCTAAGTCTGCAATTAAGTCTATCGATAGTTATACTGTATGTACTGATCGACTATACGTGTTGCATGTTTATATAAGGCCCATCTTCCCTTAACTTCTCACGGCTTTTGTATAAAATTTTCTCTTCAAGACGACACAGTCAAAAAGCAGTTTTTTTTATTTAAAAGTAAGCAAAATGCTAACTTGAAAAAAATACTTTGCTAAAAAAGTTACCTACTATTAAATGTTGACGTGTTTTGTCCATACTGACGGAGAAACTGAAAATTTGAATTAAGGGCTAAATTTATGTATGTTGTGTATTTTTTTAACGCAGATAAAACGTGGAAAAGAATAACATTTCTTTCTAAAAAAGAAAAAGTGGTCTTTATTTAAAATTGGTACATACAATGCAATGTGTCTCTCAGGCCTCAGACTTTTCATTTTTCTTTTGTAGAAACATAAACCTCAAATGACAGTGCAAAGGGGATGGCAATTGCTTTGTGCCTGGGAAGATTTGTATAAACCTTATGCTGTAGTAGAGGAATTCAAACACAGATATATTAAAGAATTGTGCTGTCAGTATTATGTATGTTGGAGGACAGCCACGTACCCCTTTAGTAAATAATAAGAAATGTGAAGTGAAGAGTGTCCATTTTCATAATAAAGACTTCTATCTTGTATAAATATTCTGTGGTAAAAAATATTTTATATCAGCTAATTGTGGTTTCTTTTTCAAAGAAAGTTACCCCCATCAACAACATACTACAAAGCACTTGACACTAATTTTGTGTTTTGGTGGAGTGATATATACGAGGCTAAAATCTCAACAAATACAGACTGTTTGGATTTTGTAGGATAAGTAGCATCACCTTCTTATTTTGAAATACACGTTGTATCATCAGTTCCAATATTTGATTACTTCTACTAAAGGTGTCACATTTATTTGCTCTCTTTTGGACCATGGTGTAAGGCCCGCAACAATGTTATTAAGAATTATTGTTATACATGTAACTTAAACTGAATTTAAATCTTTGAAGTTCTTATATATGTCGATGTCACAGGACTTTTAAATCTGCAATAGCTGTGATGATTATATACTCATGAATACATTAGTTTGGCCCTGTGTTTCATGACTGTATCAGTACTCTGATTAGTGTAGCATTTATTTGTAAATCAGGATCTTGGATGCTGTGTAAAACTTATGTTATTTAGATTACATACCTTTTGCTTTCTACATTTGAAAATGCTTTTGTCAATTATGATAAATTATCGAACAAAAAAATGTGACATTGACTTTCTAAAATTCATTTTTAACTGTTTATTGTCCTATTACACTTTTAAACTGGAAGACTAAAATAATACTTAAAAAATTGACATGTAATGATTTATGTAAGGGTATGTACTTATCTAGTAGTTGATCATAAAAAAAAATTGAGTAAAAGGAATACTTTTGCTGCATACAGATTAAGGAATGTCAGAAACTGTGGTTCAAAATGTTTTATGATACTGTAGCTGTGTGTGGCATTTCATTTGTTAAAATAAGGCAGCAATGCTTATTAAATGTATACAATGTAATTATGTTGTAAAAGAATGTTTCTTTTATTATTTCAAAAAACATTATTTGCCAACGTATTATAAAAAAACAGTGCATGATATCATGAAATTGATATCAGAAATCAAATGGAAATCTTAATTTCTATTTCGAAATAGATATATTAATTTTTTTATCACTAAAACAATGCCAATTAGCTAAGCTTGAACAACCATCAACTCGTATCAGTACTTTCAGTACTTTGATTAAATTATCAAAGAACATAATAGTTCCGTGTTTTTTGTAATAAATACATTATTGTTATCCGTTGTCATCTTTAGAAAAAAATGGTTAATTTACATATATCATGCTCCGGGTATTACTATTTGACTGTTGTTATTGAAAGATAAACCAAATTTTCATTATTTTATTTATATTTTTTTTTCCAATCAGTTAAATCAGTTAAATTATTATTTGTCACATTCTCAAAAACATTGAACCTTTCCATTCAAATCAATTAATCTATTGCTTTAAGACATTATATTCAAAAACATAGTCCCAAAGCAGGATAGTGAAGAACTGTGAGTAATTTTCTAGAAATAAATAACAGAAATCTCGTATAGCATTGGAAAAGATAAATAGTTTTATGTCCGTCATCTTGAATTATTCCTATTTAATGAACTGCTGCATAACTGAGTTAAAAATTCTTTAAATAAAAGTAAGAAATACTTCTCAGGAACAAATAAGTTAATATTTCATATAATTATTTCACCGCATAAAATTTGTTAAAATGCTTGAAAAGTTGCTTATTTGAATATGAAGTTCAGTGTATTTACAATTCATTTTTTAATCATCTTAGAACGACATGGATAGATTTAAGATTTCACTGTAATTCATATTCCTTTATTTCTACAGGTGACAGAATGTTAAACACAAGGAATCCTAACGCTGATCTGTCTGGGATGTCATTCACCACCCAGGACAGGGATAACGACAGGTATAGCGTATATAACTGTGCTGCGTACCATGGAGGAGGGTGGTGGTTTAACTGCTGTCACTGGGCCTTCCTCAATGGTCCCTGGCCTCCAAAATACTGGTACAGTCCTTGGAATCCTACAGTGACTGATAGTAGCAAGATTAAGGGGACTCTCATGATGATAAAACCTCACTGAATGTGTTACATGATGTTAATTAAAATGTTTAATACGTATACGATACTTTATCCTTTCTGAGATTACTAGTTCAAGTGCATACAAAAGTTTTTATTTTATTACAATGATTGATATGATATTATTCTAATCGTATGAAATATTGATCTAATAATTCATACTAGGAAATGATGTTATTGATATAATCTTATGATTTAATGACATTTTATCTAATCGTAATAAATCGTAATAATTATAGTTTTTGTTAGCCTAATCATAAAATAAAGAGAAAATATTAAAAATAACCAAATAATTTCCTTATAAATATTTGTTACAGATCATAAATCCTACATTATGTTTCAAGTAGTCAAGAATAAAAAAAAAATTGACAGTGCACAACTTACTGTTGGAATTAGCAATTTTTCGTGGGAATTTAATTTTCGATGATTTAGAGGTGTGAAAAGGCACACGACTTTATGTCTTAAAATGCAAAAAAAAATTACCCTACAAAAATATTTTATTGAAAAGTATTTAAAACACCATGGAAAGAACATCATACGAAATTAGATCACATTATTTTTTTTCTCAAATCATGAAAATTTAAACTGACGAAACATGTGATTTAACAATATATATGTGCATACCCTCTGTCTTCTACCGTTATGAACCTGCACTCACCGTTTGCATTCATATCACTTGCAAACAAGTGCACTCTATGTTTGGAAAAAAAATATATATAAATTATATAAATTATAGTGAAAATTTTTATGCCTCCGCAAACGATTATTCGGGGATATATAGTTTTTACCCTGTCCGTCCGTCTGTTTGTCCGCAAAAACTTGAACATTGCCCATATCTTTTGATGGATTGGAGCTATGGCTCTCATATTTCAATTGCTTATTCCTTGTGACAAGACCTTTTTGGGGTACCAAAATATATGACCTCCTCATTAATAGAAAAAATGCAAATGTACATTTCTATTATTATATAAGAATTATTTTAAAGAATCAGTATTTAAGGATATACGCAACGTTCCTTACCCACTGATAATTTTTCAAGATATTTTTAATTTTAGATTAAAGTGCCATAAGATGTTCGTAGACAAAAAATAAGCATGCATTACCAGGGGCTTTGAAAAGATATCAATTGATGAAAATTCTTGTATAATTCAAAGAAAAATATACAAAAATTACTAAAAATATATTCTAGATGTTTTGTTTTTCCAAACTTGTTTTAGTAGAAGTGTTCAACATTATATATATACATTAAAATGTTACACACTGTTCCTTTAAGTATTGGAACTCTTCAACTCCAAGGAAAAAGACAATAGAGTTCAAACTACGTTGCGTATGTCCTTAATCGCAAATCAGACCTTGGAGTTTGAGCCAATTTTGCAAGAATTTACCCAACATTTACTTTGTCCATAACTTTTGAACATTAGTGCTAGGGATTTCATACTTCACATGAACATTTATTGTGACAAAACCTTTCCATGGATATAAATAATTTTTATCTTTTGACCTTGAATTTTTAGTTTGACCTAATTTTAAATAAACTTTAACCTTGATCATAATTTTTGAACAGTTATTACTAGGGTCTTTATATTTAACTGGTGTATCCCATGTGACAAGGCCTTCCTTTGGATATAAACAATATTGACCCTTTGACCTTGTAGTTTGACCAACTCTTAAAGACCAGAAATCTCTGTAGCTCTATTGGTTGTACTTATAACAAAGGAAGGTATAAGTAGCACTTGGACTGGAAACTTTTCAGCAGCAAAAAATAGAATAATGAGCCTTGGTTTAGTCTCTTTTTGTGGCAAGATTTATTGCAATCAGACTAAAACTGTGTGAGGAGTAGCCTTTTAAAACAATTTTACAGAAATTTCGATTTTAGGAATCATGGCAACATCATTCAACAAAATCAAAAAACAATAAAGACAATTATGTATCTTAGAGTAGTCTACTTGTGTGCCAAGTTATATTGAAATCAGACCAAATCTGTAGGATGAGGAACCTTTTTGATCCCTTGACCTTGCATGTAGTTTGACTTGCATTTGAGAAACTTCAACCTTCTTCAAAAGCTGTCATACCGGGGCATCAGTGTTTCACAAACACATCTTGTTGTTTGTTTCACAAAGGGGTCTGACGAAAAAATTCATATGTACATTTCTATTATTATCTAAGAATTATTTTAAAGAATCAGTATTTAATCGCAAGTAAAGGAATTGCTCATGTGACTTCCTACATCGCTTTTTTGCAAGCTAGCAAAACTGGTTGATGATAAAAAGACGTGTTTTCCCTCTGATTACTAGTACTAACTGAAAAGTTTGAATACACGCTTCAGATATTCCAAAATCTAGACTCCAGAAAGATTTACCAAAAGAAATCTATTCTAACATTGAAATTGAAACCATGCTAGCAAACCGAGCAGAGTTTTCTCTCTTATTAGAGAGACGATAAACCTCATAAACATCTTAGTTTTATTGTTATATTAGAATCTGTTTTGAGAGAGATATATATTTTTAAATATATAATTATATGAAAATCATGTTCTTTATTCACAATAATGAGAAAAGGACATTTTCATTCTAAGAAATATTTAGCAATGAAGTAGTCAAGAACAAATAGTAATTATTTTTATTTTAGATTAAAATAAAAGTAAGTTTCATGAATAAAAAAAAACAAGCTAGAAAAACTTTAGTGATAATATTGGGGACTCATGTAGGAAAATCTTTAAATTCCTCTGTTCATTAAAAGAAAAACTTTGATACTTCATTGCTTATGAAGTATTTTTCTATAAATAAGGAAGTTGACATTTGTTATGTTGAAATTATCATGTTAATCAAAACGCACAATCGTTAGTTTTCCATCAATGTAATTTTTCCCCTAAGCATCCTTATAAGTTACTAATGTGTCAGACTCTGTAGTGTCAATGCACTATATTGAATCTACAAAGGACAGAATTTTTTGGAAGAAATCAATTTCTTATAGAATTTCTACATCATCCTTTAGAAAATTATTTGAGCTTGAAGTTGGGGATAGAAAAGTTGAAGTCATCGTGTTAATGCTAGTTTGCAGACACTGACTTTTTCCTGTAAAATGTCTAAATTTGAAACACATCTTTCAAACTCTGTGGTGTTTTTTTTTTTATTTTAGGATCTGGTGGATATACCGAATCATCGTAAAAATAGAAATTGATAGTGCTAATTGATACAATTTCGTCGTTGTTATATCTCAAAGTCGAACTGAAGATCACAGCAAGAGACTTGTTATCGAGTGGAAATTCTGCAGGTTTAAAGGCGATATTTTTCCTTTCGTAAATGATTTTTTTCCGAGTCTGGGTTTACACAACTACTTCAGGGGGTCAAGAATAAGATATGTTATGATAATTATTTTTTAAAAGTCGCTTTAAATAATGATTAAGCTTTGCCCTTGATATTCCACATTACCAATATTACTGGTTACACAATATAGTGGACCTCATGATGACAAAGACTCACTAAGTGTGTTACAAGTTTTTTTGACGTGTATCTTGGTATCTTGGTATCTCATTTCACTCAGGCAGGACAATCTGTATAGGTCTCTTGAGGAGGATGGACGCAGATCCTGTGGTGATATATCCTCTCTTAAAATGGTTTCTCTTAATGTTTGTGGTTTAACAAGTAAGATTAACTGTACAGAATTTATTGAATACATCACAAATTATGATATTATATGCATAAATGAATCTAAAACTGATAAGACAGATCATATAACAATACCTGGTTTTGAAATGTTGGAAAGCACCGTTGCGAGTTATCTCGCTTTAAATCGGGTGGTATTGTTGTTTTTGTTAAAAGAACACTCGTTAATTTATTGGAAATAATCGATTCCGCAAGTAAACACTGCTTATGGTTAAAATTCAATTTTAATAAGAAAATGTTAAATGAAACATTACTTTTAGGTGCTATTTATATACCACCTGAAAATTCTAAATATGTATCTTGTGATGTTTTTGAAGAACTGGAAGAAGAATATGTTCGTTTTTCTAATAAGTGTAAATACGTTTGTCTAATTGGTAATTTTAATGCAAGAACTGGGATAGACCCAGATTACACTACAAACTGTGACACTTACTCCAATTTTTTACCCGAAAGTTTACATGTATTAGATTTACTAAATATTCCACCTCAACGATCATCAAAAGACCTGGTCAAGAATAATTTTGGCAAACTTTTACTCGATTTCTGTAAACATACTGATCTATTTATTCTAAATGGTCGTATAGAAAATGATAGAGGTACTGGTAAAACTACATGTAAAGGTATTAGTGTCATAGATTATTGCATAGGTAATACTGAATTTTTGACTGTTGTTAAAAATTTTGAAGTTTTTGATTTCTCGAATCTATACTCTGATTGTCACAATCCCATTTATGTAGAACTGTCATTGAAAATTAACCAAGAGAAACGAAACACTATCAGTAAAAATACTTTTAATAACGATCAAAAAGAAAGAGCTAAGGGTTGGAATGATGACTTACAACAAATTTTTCTTGATAAACTAGATCAGAAAAGTAATGAAATTAACAATTTATGTGGAATTCTTGATAACTTTAAAGAGGAAGAAATCGATTTAAAATTTATTGACAAAATTGTAAACGCTACATGTAGCATTCTCACATCGAGTGCAAAAGAAACATTTGGGATAAAAAATAATAATCGTAGTAAAACAGACATAGAATTTCACAAACCATGGTTTACAATGGAATGTAAAAACGCACGACAAATATTTCGTAAAGCTAAAAGACTCTATCAGAAATATAGAAGTAAAGATCTTAAAGACGATATGTATGGTAAAGAAAAAAAATATAAAAAAGTGTTGAAAATATGTGTAAATAACCATAAAAATCAAACAAAAGAAAAATTGAAAAAACTCAGATCAACAAATCCGAAAGAGTACTGGAAAATAATAAACTCAGGGCAAAAAAATAGAAAAAATGTAAATGCATCTGCTGAAGAATTATATGATTTTTTTAAAGAT